GGCTGCCGGCGCCCGTTGTGTCCAGCTCCGTGGAAAAACGCCTCCCCCCTTGCCTGCGGGGCGCTGGGAGCCGGGGTACGGGCTCGGGATGTCACGGCGCTCCTTTCCGTTTGCTTCTAGAAAGAGTGTAAAAGAGAAAGCCGTGCTCCGCTTGAGGGAGTTCGATGTTGGGGACAAGTTCTCCCGCTTGCCGCTGCCCAGAGCCTCTGTCCTCCTGCCGCTGATGGTGAGGGAGGGGAAGCTGCACTTGCTGCTCACGGTCAGGTCGATGCAGGTAGGTGAGCCGGGGCCGAGGCTGAGGCCGAGGCCTGCCGCGGCGCAGCCCCTGCCGTCCGCAGAGCCGAGCTCTCCGAGGGACACGAGTGAAGCATCGGCGAGATCGCGTGCAGGGGAACGCTCGCCGTGTTCTCCCTCGGGTGTTCGCCCACGTCCCATCCTTACCACACGTTCTAGGGCCTGCTGTTCAAACTCCAGTCCAGGCAGCACGCCCAAGGTGACAAGCAGATGCTTTTCTATACCGATGACTGGTATTTACATGCTGGAAAAATGCCAGATACCCAGAAACCTGTGACAGTAAAAGGTGATTTCCAGATCAGAAAAGGAAATTTTGATTGTTCACTATGACTTCAATAAGAAAACTGACAATGCCGTGCAGCTCTTACTAATGTGACTTTCCAATCTATATTTAATATTACTCTTCTCTCCCTTTCCTATATGAAAGGAAAGGCAACAACCTAAGTCCCCCAGAACTCTTCTGCCAGCATTTTGTTTTCTTCTATAAGCTCTTTTACAGCTCTTGTTTTCCACCCCTCCCCATCGACTGCCTGTATTCAGAGATTATTTACTTGTCTGTTTTTTTGTTGCTGAAAAATGGAGGTTTTTTGGGTCTTGCTTAGAAATTTTAAGACCCTAATAATTATAGTTACTTAGCTGATAAACTGTTTGTAAATGGGCTTTTTGCTGATCTTCGATGCACAAGCCTATTACTATAATGTACTTAAAGGTATGTTATTTAAATGTGTATTTTAGAAGTTCTTGCTCTTACGTTGAGTATTTTAATCTCACTATTCAAGTTGTCTGTCTAGATTCATCTGTCAGTCTCTTACTCAAGCAAGATGATGAAAAATGTAAATTTTGAAGTTATGTACAGTGTGAATTACACAACACTGTACAAGTGATATGTGTATTTCTGATATGAGGGTTTATGGATTAGTTGAGTATAGGCCCAACTTTTTTTTGTGTAGCTCTTGATAAGGCATATTTCTTCTGATGTGCAGAAACTTCTTACCGCCATTTCCAGCTGCTTTGACTAGAAAGATAAATCCAACATAAAGTGCAATATGAACAAGTGTCTGTGTGGATCCGAGAAGAAATGTAAAACTTGTTACATTTAACAGTAGTACTCCTTTAAATTCTAGCTGAGAAGATCACCAGGGGAAGTGTGTTTTCCAGGAGGTAAAAGTGAAGCAATTGATAAAGATGAAATTGATACTGCTCTCCGAGAAGCTAAAGAAGAAGTGGGACTCCAGCCAGAGAAGGTGGAAGTCATCTGTAGGCTTGTGCCTGGAATTGATAAAGTAAGCAATAAACTGAGTAAGTCAGCATATCATTAGAAAATAAGCTTGGGTTATTTTCTTTTGTAAGGTTGATAATGACCTTTTCAAACCTGTAACTGTAAATAACCACCGCTTCTTAAAGCGTGCAGCCTGTGTTGCCAGCAGAGCGAATGGAAGAGATTCTTGCTCTGTATTTGGTATTTGTGAGACCACATGTGGTGTACCATGTCCAGTTATGGACACACTGGAGTACCAGAAAGACAGTGGTAAACTGGCAGGAGCCTAGTGGAGAGCCACGAAGATAGGAAGGGGGCTGGAGCACATGGATTATGAGGAGAGACTGAAAGAAGTGGGTTTGCTCAGCCTGAAGAAGAGAAAGCTAGCAGGGGATCTAATTGTTCTCTTCAAGTACCTCCAGGGTGGTTACAGAGAAGGTGATATCAGACTCTTCTTGAGGCAATGGACATAAGCAGTAACAAATGAAATTTTGATGAGATAAAATTTTAAAATAAAGAACATTCTTTTACTTGGTACAAACTTAGTGTTTGGGGTTTTTTGTTGTTTTTTTTTCTTTTAGATGAATCATTTGGTAACACCAGTTGTAGGATTTATAGAGGATACGTTCCAGGCCATTCCTAATCCAGATGAAGTGAGCGACGTTTTTATCGTGCCATTGGAGTACTTTGTCAAGCCCTTAAATTACAAGACCTTGCCTTACAAAACCTCATCTGGTCACTTAAGTTGGGTGCACTGCTTTACATATGACGACCATGAACATAAAATGTCATTCAGGATATGGGGACTTACTGCACACTTTGCTGTATTTCTTGCTCTTGTAATTTTTGGAAAGAGACCTACCTTTGAAGTTGATTATGATCTTGACAACTTAATTTCATCCTCTGAGAATAACTTCATGAATTTATATGCATCTTTATATGAAAGGAAAAAGAGTAATCTATGACAAACTGGTCTGGCAATTAATTTATATTGAAGGAGGAAAAAGGTTTTTGTTTATTCCCTTTGTACCTATTATTCGATTGAATTTCACACTTGAATTTCTTCTGAATTGGGAACTTACTAAAATTTATTTTTAAATAATCTTTCTAAGT